CAGAGTTATCGCAAAGTACAGCTGCGCGTTTGGTGGCGCTGTTTCTTGTGCAGAACGATTTCGACAATGTTTTCCTACTAGGGATAAATTACCGGTTATGGAGTCTCCTGCCATATATTGCTTTCTAAATTTGGTCCATTCAACTGTTGAAGGAGTAAAAAAGGTGCGAGTCAGCTCAGATATAACTCAGAGTTAAGTCAGAGTAACTGTGAGTTCCCACCAGATTACTACCAACCCTGCTTGAGGTCTAGTGCACGCTGTACTTCATTCGCATTCGGAAAAGGTGATAGATGTGAACGTGAACGTAAAGATGTTTCTTACATCGTCGCAGCGTTGCTTTCACTCGACATTGTAAATTGAGGTCGTATTCAAGACAATGCACTAGTGACCGGAAGGATAGTGTTGTGTCAAGAAGTTCGTCGTTTGTTGTAGTGCGAGAAAGGGATATGGTAGAACCAGTCATTATAGAATTTCCAGCAGCGGTCTAGCTTATCGCATTGCCAACGGGAGAAAGATTGCTGTTGCCACGAGTGTCGAGTCGAAAGTTGTGGGTAAAACACTTATGTGTATCGTGTCGACGGCACAAGCTAGATGTAGAGAATCCGCGCAACGCGCTGAGATATACGTCATGTACTGCAGAGTAGTAGTCGCATAAAAGTGAACTACAAAGGCCTACAGTACTTGTAAACTATGCGCTTGGTCATGTTATCATATCACATAGACATTAATTTTTTGAATGATATTCGAAAATCGAATGATATTCGAAGGTCGAATGATATTCGATATTCGAATGATATTCGATATTCAAATATTCGAAATTTCCGATTTTCGAATACATTCGAGTGTCGAATATTATTCGATAGTCGAATATCCGAAAATTTCAAGTATCAAATATATTCGATATTCGAATATTCGAAAAAAATTTCGAATTTCCTTAAGTATACTATATATCAGCAAGAAGTCATATTTTACCCATTATTGGACGATCTAAAGAAGCAGTTGATATAAATTTTGATCAAAACTTATTCTAGAAGTACAGAATGCAGGGCACTTATCTTTTTAGTAAGTTGTACTGAACATTTGTGGTAAGCTGGCGTTATATTGAAGACATCTCGTAACTCGCAAATCGCGTACGGCAATCTAAAACGTCTAATCCTCCACTACAACTGAGAAGTTCTTTACTTAAAATACACCAATTCGCAAAAAATCTCTAAGGTAGCGAATAGAGGCAGTTGTGCAATATAACTTATGCGAGCAAGACTGTTCACTAGTGTGGACTTTGCGTACCACAAGCATGAGCAATGCAAAGAAAGAAAAACAGGCATTTCAAAACACTTTCAATATATGAACTCGGAACATGAGCTTGAATTTGATAGCTTCTTTGCTTATTTAGTGCCAATAGCAGTGCGAACAATCTCATTGATCGAACGAAATAGCATTAATTAAAATCCAGATATTTTTTCAACTGTCGCAAGCAGTCGAAAGAATGCGACTCTCCATACAGTTCAGAGGTCATAACAGTTGCAAAACATGCATTACCGAGTTTTGCGAAAAAAAAAACGCGGACGAAGTGAGCTTGATACTCAGCTCTGACTACGGAGTTCATTCAAATACGAATTCGAATAAACATTCGAATAAAACATTCAAATAAAATCTTTTCGAAACCCCGTTTTTTGATTATTCGAGTTTTCGAGCAATATTCGAATCCTCGTTTTTTGATTATTCGAGTTTCGAATTTTATTCGAAAATGAAAGAACTCCGAATATCGAACTTCGAATACGAATATATTCAAATGTTTTATTCGAATGATCAAATTTCTATTCTCCGATCACTGCCCTCTTCGAGCGAAGATACGACTCAGCCGAAGGCTGGAAAAGAAAGTCTTTCACAGTGCCGCGAGAAGGAAGGAAGTCGTTTATGACGGTAACAGGCTGGAAGAGCTCATACCGAGATGTGACTGGCCATCGAGGAGGATCCAACGTACGACTACGACCGGCTTCTGAAAGGATTGCGAGCCTGCGGAGAGTGCGCCTCAGTGACTTCTGAGAAGAACTTGGAACGTATCTCGAAGACCACCAAGGAATTGCCCGAAAGAAGAAGATTAGCTGCTTTACAGCCACAGAATGCCGAGAAAGCCGCAGCTCCCAAGTTGAAGATGACAGAGTGAAACAGCTGAAACCAGGTCAAAAGACGGCAGAACAGCACATAAATCAAAAGTAGCAAAAGCGCACCCAGAAACGATCGATCGAGACATTTTGAAGTTATGTTCTAAGATTGGAAAGATAAATGTCGTATGTGGCAAGTTTCGAGCAAAAATGTTTAGAGCCGAACCACCTGGCATGTGCTGCTGAACGGCAAAGTCGACTCTGCGACTCTACATGAACCGACTAAAGCTTCGCTCATACATGTCCTGCGCGAGTTTTGTCCAGGCATTTCTTGCAAAACACCAGTAAGTACAATTCGCGCTTTTTAAATGACTTCCTTGGCACTACAACCACGTCTTAAAAGAAAGCTCCATGCCAACGTTTAAAATATAGGAGCGGATCTATCCTAGAGCTGGATCCCTGCTTCCTGCTTCTTTGTAGCCTCAGCCTCTTGCAGCTGTACTTAGTCCGCGAGAGCGTTTGCGAGGGAATCAACGTTGCGGTATCATTGGTGGTACAAGGTCGTGCTAAGGCTGCAAAAAATGCTGCATCAGCACAACCACCTCGTGAACATCTGCAAGACTGCTGTATAGCAATCACCTATAGATGAGTACAAGGTCGTTAACCATGCTGGAAGGCTCTGAACTGCATGAGCGAAGCATTTACGCTCCATCTGTAAGCGAGATGGGGGGCGAGTGGTGTAGTGGTATGAGGCGCCACTATGACCAGATCGGACATAGGTTCGATCCCCGCCCCTGGGTCAACCGAGCCCTCTACCCTCCGGGGCCGGTAAATTGGTACCAGAGTAATCTGGGAGGATAAAAGCACTGACTTGGAAACGGCTGGCCCCCGCAAGTCACTGTAATAGGCTCGCACGCATACAATTGCCTCTTCGATTATGAAGTTAGTGTGTGGGTTCGGCGCATGCCCTCAGAGGTATTGAAGACACCGAATCCTTTATCCTTTTATGTAAGCGAGATGGCGGTGGTTTTTGTTGCCACAGCCGCGACATTGCTTGGAAACTTTGCGAAACTTTGCAGCGCATTTCTGAAATTAGATCGTACAGTACTCTTTGCCCTGCGGTACTCACTGATGCTCTAGGATGAGGTAGATGGGTAACTTTTTGAAGTTTGACGTAAAAGTCTTAACACCAATGCCTTCAAACAATGGAGTAAAGGCTATGGATTCTTATGCGCTTCGCATGGTGAGGAGCACGTTCTTCAAACACGTCGTCAAATGTCGCCAGATGTCTCATCAGTTCATCTTGGTCGGGTACGCCAAGATCGGGAGTGAACGGCTGCGGCTAGAGGGCATCCTCTTTCGCGGAAGGCCTGCGTCAAATGCGAGGGTACGCTCATGACCTATGTTAGTGCATGTGGGCCACCTGATCTGCTCATGACGTTTACGTAAGCCGAAATCGCAGGATAAACTTTTTGTGGTAGAGCGCCTCCTGACTGCCATGCCATCACGACGAAAGTCTTCAGACAGAAGCTCACGAACCTTGTGGACTTACTGAACAAAAGCCACGTCTATGGAGACACTCGTTAGTGGATGTGACCGCGGAATGGCAGGAATGCGGTCTCCCGCATGCCCACATCTTAGTGTGCCTAAAGGGGAAAATTCGCTCAAGCATCATCTCGGAGAAGCTTCATAGTTGAAAAAAGAAGACTCTTTCGATTTTGTCCGAAAAAATATGATTTATGAGCAATACGGACCATTAAAACCGAGGACACCTTGCGCGAAGGCAAGTGTACCAGAATGTACCCCCCGGGAACTGATCTGCGACTTTCGAACGGGAAGTGATGGCTTTCCTCTATGCAGAAAGCGGTACCTTGATGATGGAGGACATACCGCCGTCGAGTGAAAGTGAACCAATGTACCGTTGAAGTAATGGTGGACGACTGCTGGTTGTGCCATGAACTTCCTTACTATCGAAAAGGTTTCGTACACATATCTGTGGTACTGTAACACGCTGGACTCGATTGAGTACGTCTGGATATGTGAACAAAGGAAGTACATTTGATGAGATCGAGCATTATCAAATGAGCAGGTACATAAGCAGCAACGAGGCAGTTTGGGGGTATTTTGGGTTTTAGGACGCACGAACATCACCCACCTGTCACCCATCTACAAGACCATCTAGAGAATGGACAACGCATCTACTTTACGGCTGAAAATGCACGGCAATGAGCTGCAAAACGCCTCAAATAACTTTGACACTTTGCAGCATTCTTTCTCCTGTGCCAATATGATTTGTTTGTATGGACTTTGTTGCAAACAGAAGTCCCATATTTCAAAATTTCATGTTTTTTTTCTACCGTGTTCGTGTTTCTCGGTTAATCGTGTTTACCAATCATGTTTTGCTGGCTTATCACCCACTTTTCGGATGAGCAACAGCACTGCTCTTTGGGACCGCAGACAACTGCGTCTCATGCATGGCTTTCCCAGAATAAGTTTTCTAGCGTCGGTAGTGTCAGGTTGGTGGATACCTGGCAGGAACCAATCGCAGGCGTTTTGGACAGCTCGTAAAAGTAGCAGTGGCATTCCCTAATGCAATCACTTGACCTACCTTGGCCAAATGGAAATTTTTTCCTCAACACCTGAGGCCCTTATTCACTGTTTGTTTTGTTCTGGTAAAGGTGACAGGTTAATCTATCTTACTCTAGCAATGTTTTCATTACTCACACAGGCTTTGGCACACGTTTACGTGTATGAGGTAAAGATAAAAATAAATAAATATAAATATACCAGCCGCTCACTGCCGCTACGCGGCAGGTGCGGCTGGCACTCGGCAGCTTTGCTGCCTTGTACACTTTTCATAACTGGGTCCCGAAAAACTTTTTAGTGCACTTGCCATCACGCATACACGGTGATCGGGTTATGGATTCCGCAAGGTCGGTGCATCATCATTGTTGTAATAATTCCGTGCAGAACTGGGTCCTCAGCGGGGTCCGGAATGGTAGCGCTGATGAGGCGATCGACGTCGGCTGCTGTGCGAGGTTTCGAGTCGTTGTCCAAGATGAGAAGGGAGTGCGTGTGTGGCAACTCTCGCTTCTGCCACTCGAAGACTGATACGTAACCTACGACGCAACCGAGAACGTGTTGTATGAGAAGTAGCTCCATGAGGGCGTCGAATTTGCACTTGTAAACTCTCGCAATCATGTCAAGACGGTAGGTGGCAGTCTGTCTTTGCTGAAGGCTCTCTTCAATCTCCCGTCATTCGGGGTTACATATGTAAACGTTATGAAGAAGTCCGGCTTGCCGTATTTTGCGACTATGGTTATGGCGTCTTGGCAGTCTTGTAACACAGAACGCGGACTTCCTTTAATCGTGGCTGGCAGGATGATTCGCTTGCCCTGTGGCCCATTGCAACCGTCGTCAGTAGAGACGAAGTCGAGTAGCGACTGGTACCGTATGCGCTCGAAGGTCGGCTTGATAAGTGCGGATGTAATTGAAGCGGTTTTGCTCCGACTTAAAAACAGCGTCGACAATGAACTGCTGCTTAAAGGCAGCGTCCAGGCAGATCCGAGCTTGACGGCCACGCCCACTTCCCTCAGACGGCCAAACCCTTATAAATAAAATCTCGTCAGCCTTGACGTGTTTTCACATGACCAACACAGTCGAACTTACAGCGTTTACCTGTTAATACTTGCTTTCGACAAGGATAAGATCAGAAGCACTCGTCCGGGTTTTCCCAAAATAGCCCCAAAAGGTGGTTTTCTGAGAAATTCACGCTTTTTGAGTTCCATATTCGGAATCAGCGCCATGGAAAGGCCTGGATAATATAAAAGTATAGAAGTCGAGAATCTGCCTGGACGCTGCCTTTAAGTCGGCCTCCGTGATGAAACGGATTAATTCTGCCAGGCCTGACCTGAAGCAAGTAGAAGTAGTCCGTTGAGATATGCAAGAGCGTCGACTGGCGTGACCTTTCTTCTTCAGATCCGGGCACCAGCCAAAATGTGCCCTTGGAAAAAAAAGGGGTAGCAGAGGGATCGGCAAGATTGAAAATGTCTGAGATTTTCTGAACTGCGTTGACATGTGGACGTACGGCAAATTCGCGATGAGCGGGAACGTCACCGTCTTCGCCGACGTAAACAACGGCCACGTCGTTGGATGTAGGGGCGCTATAGCGACGACGGTCAAGGGAACGGTCCATCTCGAAAATCATACAAACTGGCTCAGCACTGTAGTTCTCCTTTGATGCGGCAGCTTATCCTTTCATAAGCACCTCGTCCAACACCTTGTAGGATCAAGCGAAGGGATTAACACGGTGTATCAATGCACTTAACGATCGCATCACGTCGGGACGGGAAGGGCCGTCGTTGCCAATGAAGAGCTGTTGCAAGTCTGCAGGGAAATTGGCGAACTTGTCTTCGATGATGATGTTGCCAAAGTTGCAGCACACATTAATCTTATCACAGCCATTAGGGACTTCAGGCGGCGCTACAATGGAGGAAAATAACATCCAACTTGCCGAGGTAGTGCTCAGCGATGGAAGGCACATCAGCAGGTAAGTGTGTTCATGATATCGTTCGCGCATAGAGGCAAGACGTCGATCTCGTGCAGCCAGTGTCTATGGTTACGGCGAAGACGGCTACGCAAGGCTTTAGAAGGCTTTTTGCAGCAGTACGGGATCGGGTTCTCTGTGCGATGTACACCTGCGACTGGGGTGTGGAAATGGTCTCCTCGGATCGTCCTTGACGTGTGGCCGCATTCATCTCCTGGACGTATTTTTTGAAAGGTTGTACTGGCGACAATGAGAGTAACTTACGTGCATCGGGGCAAGCTCTTCTTGGGCCTCTGGTGCTTCCTGACTATGGTGAAGACGGTTATGCGCAGCTGCGGAGCTCCGTCTTGAGCCACGTGCTCGACATTTCTGCGCAATGTGCATCTGCGAGATGAGAGTGGAGGTAGGTGCCGTTCAAACATTACTTGTTGCCGCGAGTCAAGCGTAGAGATTGTTTGTGCCGTGTGCTCGTCGATTGGTTCGTATCGTCGTTCGCCAACCTGTTCTGAGCTCGCACCATGCAGATTGATCCAGTGTCTCCTGAAGGCGTCCGTTAAAGGCAGTGGCTCGGCAAATCCTCGATCCGAGGTTGTCTCACTTACCTGAGGTAGTTCGAGGCGCTAGTTTCGAAAATACACTTTGGAGATCACGAAAAGTCGAAAACTAGCATTTTCCAAGGGTTCTTATTTTGAATTTGGACGGGTGAACCACTCTCCGCCATGGTTGGAGACGTAGAGTCCTTGCGAGACCTCCATGTTTATAATATTACGGCATGCCGCCCCTGACCGGGGAGCGGGACCGCAAGCTCGTCCGAGCGCGTGTAAGGATGGCTTGCGCGCACGGGTTTAGCGACAGTTTTCCATGCAGAGGAAGCATGTAGTGCGCTCGGACTTGCTCTGTTTTGATGCTTGATATGCAAGCAACCTTCTATACAAAAATTTCGAGATGTTTGGTTTTGCCGATTCACTGCCTTTAATCTGTGGTCCCTCTTGCCGTCGACGAAGACGAGGTTCCACATTGAGGCAAGACGCCGCTCTCATGCCTCTGGTGTTTCTCGGCTACGTTGAAGGCGGCTACGCAGGCTTCAGAAGTGCGCCTTGCAGCGTTACGGGTTCGGGTTCTCTGGGCGATATGCATCTGCGAATGAGGTGTGGAGGTGGACGGTCCATTGCTGTAGGAGGTCAATATGAGCGCCATGGTCTCGGGTGTAAAAGTAGTCGAAGGAAGTACGACCGATGAAGGCATGTTATGAATAAACCGTAAGGCCGGGATAGGGTATTTTGATTTGGTAGTCACATTTGATCTCGTGGATGAACATTTTGATTTGTTGATGAGCTAAGCAGTCGACAAACCCGTTGCGAAAAGTCAATGCATAGTTGAATATCAGCTAGCCTCCAGAATGTGGCATACAAAAAATCAAAAAGGTAAAAAAGTCAGTGACTAAAGTTGTAGATATTTTATTCAAATAAACCATGCTTAGCTATCCCTTCCTGCCAGTTTTCAGCTCAACAGAGATTGAAACACAAAAAATCGATAAATTGATAGTGCTTGTATGGTGAAAAAACTTATTAACACCCGCTCCGCCTGGAAGTTCATGTGTGCAAAGTTTCGTTTGAGTTCAGTGAAGTTTTATAACATTTTAGGCCGGTCATAACGGAATTGCTAAGAGAAAAACGCAAAAAATCGATAAATTGATACCGCCACTCGCTGTTTTTCGGTGAAAAAGCTTAATGACACCCGACCCCACCCCGAAGTTCATGTATGCAAAGTTTCATCCAAATTCCTTGAGTTTTTGTACCATTTCAGGCCGGTCATAAAAAATGCTTATCCAAATATTATATAGGTATTGATATATGTATGTGTATATATACCCTGCTCCGCCCGGGTATCATGACTTATAGTAAAGCGCTAAACGTCTGTCTTTTTGTGCATATGTGTATGTTTGTCCGTCACGAAATTCATAGAGGGAGCTGCAGCCAAGCTTTCGAGCTACAATTTTGCATATTACACTGTATTACCATGTAGACTATGTACAAGGACGAGCCGTTTCAATAAACGGGTACTTCAAAATTTGTGCGTCAAACGGATCCACGCGGCTTTTGGCTCGCGGAACTAAGTAGCCAATGCGACTTTTTTTTCCAAAGTCATTTTGCCTGACAAGTAAATCTGCGCCCCATGAGTTCTAGCCCAAAAGTGCTTGAAAAGTTTGCTTTCATGCAAAAACAGCCCAAAAAGTAGTAATCGCCTAAATAGTCAATTTGGCAAGGCTTTAATTCAAAAATGAAGAGAATTTTGCACGGAAATGTAGCCCAAGGTGACTACTATCCTTATGACTATCAAACTAAGATGAAGATGTTTTTTTGTAAAGAAAAGTTTCCTTTCTCAAAGTTACCGATCTTACATGGAGATGCTTCGAAAATGAGTTGTTTCCAATTTATTTGTGATGTTTAGCATCGCACGGTGAGTATCAAAGTCGTCATTATGCGAGCAAGAGAAAGGCATACGGATAGCAGAGCCGAACCTCCGCGAAGCGGAGGTGACGCACTGTTGGCATTTTTGCACTGACTACATAGGGCATTTTGACACTCACTATAACACACAAAGGGCATTTTGACACTGACTATCATACTCACTCATAGCGCAGCTCCAGCGCAGTACTGGTTGTTTGGTCTCTATGTCCCGATCTGGCAAGGCTGGAGTCGGGCTTTCAACATCTAGTCTGCCACTCCATCATTTAGTTAAAATAAATCCATTGCCATACAGGACTTTTCAAAGTCTCGATTTTTCATGAAGCCCTAATGAAGGCGGCGGACGGAGCGCGGGACGCTGGCTTATCGCATAATAAAGTCTTGCTACCAACCTCGGTCGGCAGCTTATAACTGTACTACAACAATCACAATGCCAAGGTTTATCGACAATCGAATATGAAATATCGATGTCCCAATGGTTTAAGTTTCTATTTGAGTATTTTAGGCGGCAGCATGCGAACGACGGGAGGGACGCCACTAAATTTTGGAGCACCTCTTTCGCATACGATGAGTCCTTTCTTCCTTAACCACTCCCCAAATTTCCCGCCTTCAGCGAAGTTCACAGCACAGAAAACCTGTAAGGAATAAAGTACTGCAAAGCCAGTAAGTCTAAGGTGTAAAATCGCAAACTAAGTCATGTCTTGCTTGGTCAACGTACCACTAATATGGTAGGTAACAAGAAGATATACGTGAAAATTCTCATTCTGGTCGAACTGACGTAAACTCTCTGGAATAAATACCCTGAGAGAGCAGGCGGTACATAGAGCGGTTGATAAAACGATAAACGAAAAAAACCTCTTTGACACAACTTGACAGAGAAACAAATGATCTTTTGTGCAAGGGAAATTACGAGATTGCAAAGAGATAACAAAGATAACCTTGATTTCTCTGCTACGAAATTCCTAGGCATTTGTAAGAGAAATAATGTCAAAAATAACACCTCATGAAGTTGTGCACAATATACACCACTCTATCTCTACTAAAACTTGCTATTCCACGACATAGGTGTCCAAAAAAGTACAAACAGTCTGATCGTTGATACACTAGCTTTCAGCCTTTGTCGAGATTTGGGATTATTCTGTAAAGCTGGCTTTAACTTAGACTTAGCACGAGCGAATTTCCGATCGCTCTTCATTAGTGCAGAATAACTGTAGGAACTTCAAGAAGGATTCTAGGACATTGAAAACCATATTTTGCTTCGCAAAATTAAAGAAACAAGCTAAAAGCTTCCACGTTAGATTAATCAAAGTCTTTAGATATGGGTGGCATTTCACTTTATGCTCGAATAATAAGTAGTATTCTCTCGTAACAATTATCTTTTCAATTCAGAATGTGATCGTACCCTCGAGACGCTCAACAAACTCGAAAATGTGTAGTAAAATCAGCAAGCGTAAAAACCCTGCTAGGCAGTTTTCCAGACTTCTAAGAAAATTTTGGCAGACGGCTTTTTTCACAGTGATTCTATCAGGTTTGTCCCAAAAGTAGCATTTTTAGATAAATTGAGCTGTTTTTGTTTTCCTAGCAGACTCAGAGTGTCATTCGATAGAGCGAAGCAAGCTCCACAAAAAGACCATCAAAGATACACTTAAGTCGTAATCCAGATAAAATTTGGAGTCAAAACCCAAAATCTTTCAGCTATCCTAAAAATCAGATCTCCTTCCAGAAAGTCCCTATGGACTTCCAACTTGGTTTATACACAGAGAGTCCCAAAAAATGCGTCTACTGTTTGATTGTAAATAACTCTCTTGTAATGAAGTGTTTTAAGGAGCTTTAGGTATGGTTTTGTAGAGCGAGGTTGAACTTAGATGTACAGCATAGTGCGAGTCATTGATCGCTCTTCATTACTATAGGATTACGGTAAAAACTTCCAGCATATGGATTTGATGTGAAATTTACAACCTAATAAATTTTTTTCAAAAAATCTGAAAACTCGTGTATTAAGGTTTTCGCGCATGCTTTTTACGATTGTTTTTGCTTTTTTGACGTTGTAATTACATTTCTGAAATGCTGGGAACTGAGTTATTACGATTTACCGGGGATAACTTTGGAAAGAAGCATCACAGTAATGAAAATATCAAATTCGAAATCAGCTGCTTGCTTTACCGTAGTGTAAGAGTTTTTGGCTTGTTCGGTTTTGTTCCGAGGCAGAATATAGCCTCCAATGGCCCTAAAATCCTTATCGAATTTCGTACCGTAATCCTACAGTAATGAAGAGCTATAGATGATTCGCTCCATACTGCAAATCTAAGTTTAACCTCGCTCTACAAAACGGTACCTAGAGCTTCTCGACACTTCCTTACAAGGGAGTTATTCACAATCAAACAGTAAGCACATTTTTTGGGACACTTTGTATAATAGACATATAGTAGTAACCAAAAATATATTTGGTGGATTTTTTTCGGGGCTCAAAACTGAGAAACAAAAATGGTGTGAAAATGCCAAAATGCTTTTTTTGAGTTTTCTATGTCGAACCTGGTATTTCTCGATTATAAAAGCGCACAAACGTTTTGAAAATGTACTAAGTAAGGCTTGTAGTATACAATGACCTATGTGGGAGAGGCTGGGGGGGGGTACCACTTTTGAGGTATCTCTTTTCTCGCTTTTTGTGCGCGAAGTCCAGTAAAGACATATTTAAGACTACTTACCAATCTCTACTGCAAAGCACGGTTATTTGTACCCTCTAAACTGCCACGTTATATGTTATCATCATACGTAGCAGTGTTGATAGCGAGAGATTACAAAGAACAACTTGCAGAAGAGGTTGATCAAGTTCACCAACGTAGATGTCTGCATATGTCTCCGCCATGAGGACACGATAGTAAGATTGACTAATGTGTATTGTGAAAGTGCGAAAATGAATGAAAAACTCCTTAGGTGTTCAATTTATGGGCATTTGACACCTTTCAACTAAATGACTCCCTCTGTATTGCAGTAGCCGATTATTTTCAAGATGCGGACACCTTTGAATCTATACCATTGAGTTTGTTCCACACGTATGATACCTATGTCTGCCGTTTCTTCAGTTCACGAAAAATAGTGTGAGTTACAGAGACCATTTAAACTGAGATGTACGTAGTATGATAAATCTCATGTCCAATATTCGTAAAAACGCTTCCGTCAAGGTATTAGGTTTGCCCGAAAATGTGTAGCAACATTCTCAAAAATTTATAGCCCCTTACATTTCCAAGCGTTTGCTTTCCTGAAATTTTGAACTCGTCTAAAAAAACAATCATGCGCTTTACAAAAGCATTTGGGGTACTTTCTAACTCGCAAACACCTCAGTGATAGAAGGTTACGAATAGAATTTGTAGAGTTGCCAGAAATGTGAATCAAGGCCCGAAGGGAGGTGGCAAATAGTCCTCTGTGAAGGATTACGCCTTTGCCGCTTTGATTTTACAATTTTTACCTTGATCGCACCAATTGCGTAGGCTATTTGATTGAATTGCGTTTTCCTCAAAAGTCGGGACTCGTTTGTTCTTTCGGACTCTGCAAAGAGAAGGCGAGAAGCTGAAGAGGAAGATGCTTCAATGATCATTTAAGTGTCAGAAATCTTGCGTTACATACAAAAACTTTCCTACTGCAATCTGCAGGCTTTCAAAGTATTTACCTAGATTCTGCATGAAGCAACACTGCATTCACTAAAGGATCGTGAAGTTCACAAGTGAGTGCCTCTGTGCTGGCCAAGAAGCAAAGCAGTAGGATTGTAAAAAGAGACAAAGTCATTGCTAACTCTCGAATTTGTATTATAAATGCAACCTCTTCAAATAAAGGCTGCACTAAGATAACAGAGAAGAGAAGATCAAATGCTTTACCTATCACATAATAACTTTTCTCAGCATTCTATGAGCAGCTGCAAAATGGGGTCATGTTATGTTGACTGTAATGACTTCTGCTGAGGGCTTACCTCCGTGGCCTATGAGAATATTTGTGGAAGGCAAGCTCTACAACTTTGAAGCGAGAAATCGAGAGCGTATGACCGACAGGACACACTTTCCTTTTATACGCTTACAAATAAAGTCTTGTATCAGTCATATGCGAGCACTTCTTTTAATCGCTTATATGTAATCAGATTGAAAAATTAGATGGAAAATCCCTTGACTGTTAATGTAACGTAAAAACTTATGTTGATCCTTGAACCAAGTCCGCAATTCGCGACAAGTGCGTCCGTTGCTTATGAGCAAGTGTGATTTTGCTAAACGACAAAGAGTAATTCTGTTTCATCATACAACAGTCACCCTATTTGCATTGCCATTAAATGAATTTTGCAATGCTCAAAATCGAATGATATTTTTACGAAAATGACGCACAAGACTGTTTTTTCTACCGAAAAGTTAAATGTCAAAAAATCGTATGTTTTTCAAATAAAGTATCGCAGATGCAAATACCTACTTCGCTCAAGGCTTGAATGAATGCCCAAAACTCATTCCTCTCCGGAATTGTGGCTCTTTTGATAACATGCTGTGAATTTATGTCTAAACATATAAATACAAGTACACGCTATGATTATCTGCATGATGCTTGTTTTGAACTCACACCAAAGACGGTAAAAAAATTTTGTTTTGCTCTGCAAAAGCGAGTACTAATTCTAGTACTCACAGTTTTCATTTCTTTAGGGCCATTTGATCACATGCCTTTCTGGGTGCTTCATGATACGTAGCTCCATTCTGCTCATCTCATCTAAATATGATATTCGGTTATGGCAAATGTTTCGTTAACGTCTTTTAGCCAGATTTTTAGCCGATTATGATTTCTGAAGTGAGCCGTAGATTTGATGAAAATTTTTTTATCTAGAGGAGATAAGTGGTGTTTTTCAGTGATGAAAAAACTTAATTGGATTATCTGTTCAGTGTCATTAAATCACTTATAGCAAGCTCCTTAGCGATTGCTAATAGATTGCATCGAAAATTTGCTTCAACGACGTCACAATCATTTTTGTTTTTCTACTTATAGTACCAAGTATGGTGTGCTCCAATCCTTTGCTATCACTTTAAAAAGCAGGGCTCGGGACGAGGTGGCTAGTTGAAAATGCAAAAAACGAAGTGCCCCTTGACTTCGCCACAAAAGTACGACATCCCCCTTGAAACGCTAACGAACATATCAAACTTGAAAACAAAAAGAATGGAGTAGAATACAAGATCGACAATAAATAGGCGATAAGAAGTAGTGACTGTTTGTATTCCTCGGGTTGGCGGCATGCTGTGTCCGCCGCGCACCACTGCTAGCTTGGAGCAGCTTTGCCGCTGCCATCCAGATAAGTTGGAGGGCTATAACTACGCGGGGAAGAGAGGGTTTGGGGAGGTACAAGAGCTGTTTTGTAGAATATTAGATGTAGATTACCTTTATGTAGAAAATTTGAAAAAATTATGTGAAGGATAGGATTTATATGACTTTGTTGGCGCTAAGCCACCTCAGGTGGCTATCCATGTGGCTTGGAAGCCACCTAACCCCAAAAAAAGTTTGCCATGCACTTAGTTCACATAAATTTTTCATAATTTTTCATACATAGTCCCCCCCCCCATTGCCCATCTACACGTCTATTTTGGTGCCATTTCATCTTCACTTCGCTGTAAACAAACCCTTTGTTTATTTGCTTGCGGCATGCCGGCATCGTGCCGGCAGCAGATCGAAAAACAGCGTTATGCTCTTCCGCAAAAACGACATCTACTTTGCTTTTTCCCCAAAAAAACGATATCCAGCTTGCTTAAGCCACCTGTGCCGAGCCTTGTTAAAAAGTAGTAATCACATCATTTGGTTGTGCTCTTATAATCAGCCCCATGACCTCAATTTGCAAATGAAACAGTAAGCTCTAATTACTGCATACTCACTCAAGTGCATAGATGCAAGTTCTTAAAAATTGTGGGTTGGCGATGTGTATTCTTTGCGGTGACTCCGAGATATCAACGCAGTACTTTATACCTATTTCTTTCACAGGACGAAAAAGCTTGTTTCTTCAATAATCGTCGTTCCCTTATCCTTATTTTTCTCATACACGTAAACGTGTGCCAAAGCCTTTGTGAGTGACGAAACATTGCTAGAGTAAGAGACTAGCCTGTCACCTTTTACCAGAACAAAAAACAGCGAATAAGGGCCTCACGTGTTGAGAAAGAAAAAATTCTATTTGGTCAAAGGAAGTCAGGTGATTGGCATGGGAGAGTGCCATTACCACTTTTGCGGACTGTCCAAAACGCCTGCGATTGGTTCCTGTTCCTGCCAGGTATCTATCAACCTGACACTACCGACGCTTGAAAACACCTGTCTTATTCTGGGAAAGCCATGCATGAAACGCAGCTGTCTACGGTATTAAAGAGCAGTGCTGTTGCTCATCCGAAAGTGGGTGACAAGCCAGCAAAACATGATTAGTAAACACGATAAATCGAGAAACACGAACACGATAAATCGAAAAAAAACATGAAATCGTGAACCCACGTAGTAGGAAAGGGCTTCACGAAGGCGGTTGTCGTAAAAGCGAAGTGGGGAAAGCAAAGTCCGAAACAGATGAGTCGACAAGTGAGGGCCAGCAAGAAATAGACCAGAAACAGGCAGACCTGTAGTGAAAACAGACCAGGAACGAGTCAAACATCATTACTAGTATTGGAGAAATCCTAAAGATATGCTTTCGTAATGCAAATTGTGAGTACTTAATTATCAAAGGAAACAGAACATATTACTCCAATATTCTCAAGGAAACGAACGCCAGAAATTACAGAATACAAGACCTCTTGTACCTATTAGATTACATACTTAATAACAGTTACTGCACACTTGGTAACAGGTTATTCATTGAAACCAAAGGAGTGCCCCAAGGCGGTAATACCAGCCCAATAATTGCAGATTTAACACTTTCCTATCTGGAATACAGTTACGCTTTAAATAAGTACACAGATGGAAACATATTCAAACCCTTTAGGTATATGGATGATATCCTCATTATACACAGCTGTAGTACTGAAACAGTTTTAGGGATTCTACATGACACATACAATAACATCCTAGACCTTAAAACCACACAGATAAGCACACATGAATGCAATTTCCTAGATCTCAATATTAGGATTACTTATAATGAGCTAGTCACTAAACAGTACAACAAAACTGACAGTTTCGATTTTAACGTATTTAAATTTGGTCGTGGTAGTTCACATATCAGTTACAAACAAAAGATAGCAATTGTGTACACAGAAATACTTAGAATATTCAGAACTTCCACACAATTCACAGACTTCAAGTGTAGATTCAGTCAACTTGTAACACAACTTGTACAATTGGACTATAAAAAAAGATTTAATAACCGGCGCCTTTCTAAAATTCGTTAGTTCCAATACTCAAGTTAAATACAAGTATCCAGAAATCCAAAAATTTAAGAACATTAGAGTTCTGTTCAAAAGATTCAAAAAAAGTTGACACTTTTTTGATCTCATATCATTTGACCTTCCTCCCCCCCCCTTTTTTTTTTGGCCTACCTGCCCTACTTTATTTACTATATAAACCCCCAGTTTCCAGCACTAGCACATTCATCACTCCTCCCTACTGATGAGCCTCGGGAGTAGTCAGTGTTTATATTCTGCCTGTCTAGGGGCAGAGGCGAAACAGGGACATTCTTTCTATTATAACCATGTCAGAGATAACAAGTTTGTGAGGGTTACCCGGGGCTTGTTTATCTCTTGGCACAGATACTGCCCTAAAGCATCTTGATAACTAAATATAATGCTTGATCCGCATAGTATGTCTTTACATACTTAGGCCAACTGGCTAATTAGACCAACTGGTCCATACTATCCAACAGGATAGTTATTTCTTCACATATTGTAGTTTGCACACGAACATTTACATTTGAGTCTTTTGACTACTGAATCACACTATGATGTAAAAAGAGAAAAATGTTCAATAATGATACGATATATCAAGTTAGATTGATATACTCTCTGAATTCTTTCTTCCATTACTTGATTTTGCCACAGTTAATGTGATACTACAAAGTAAACAAATAGCATGTATACGTGTATACGTGACCACTCACATTACCCCTGACGAAACTCAAAAGAAAGTTAAATTCAGAAAACTCCTTTTTCTTGTCGAATTCAAGGCAGACTCTTATCTCTTTTGCAATACTGCTCCCGACGCGAATAACTGCTGATGACTCATTCAGCAACCCATATGACACAAGACATGACGTTAAAATTGGAAAAATCAAAATTTCCCATTTGTCGCAACTGACAATGTTTTTGCAACTTCAGCTTCAGATATTCTTTTACAGCACAAATACAGCTTGTGATTCGTTAGCATAAGTCCTTTTAGCATAATGAGACCATGATACAATGCTTACGCAATAAATCGTTGCATTATGCGATTCCAAATGAATCATTCAAACTCCATCCAATATTCAGAACACAGCTATAGCCGAATGAAACTCGGCAAGTCGACTCCTTTGACTCCATACAGTAACTGTTCGGTTATTTACATCTTTGAGATTAGATAATATCCTCTATGTCTGTTGCGATTCATTTTGATGGTCCTAGCCCGAAAAACAAAGTATGAAATACCAGCACACTATTGATGTTACGTAACGTTGGACACTCTCGCTGGTACGATTGAAACACATTGCCAAGGTAGCATGACTCATCATAAGTTCGATTAGCAAAGATTGGTCTCTATTTGGGAGTACGCAGAAACAGGTCATACAAAATCACATGCTTTTAGCAAAGATCCTCATGGCGTAATGATTCCAATCCACACCTACGCAAGAACCATTATTTTAGACGATTCCAAGTGATCTTACAACTCCATTCTACAATTAGAACTATTTCATAACTTCGAGCGTTCCATCAGTAACATTTTGCTGGTACAACTGAAACAGATCATTACCAAAAAAGCATGACTCATCATAATGACTAGCAGAGTTTGGTCTCTAATTGTGAGAACGCCTAAACAAATCGTACAGAATTAAACGCTTCTAGCATAAGTCCTTTTTACGTAATGAGTCCAGTTTACAACTCATACGCGAAGAACCTTTATATTAGACGTTTCCAAATGAATTCTACAAACTCCACTCAATAGACTAAACTCAGTCATATCCGAAAGAAACTCGTTGACTCCTTTGTCTCCACACAATAACTGTTATACTATTTACATTTTCGACACACAAGAATAGTCTCTATGACTGTTTCGCATCATTGACGGCGGAGGTCCTACTCCGAAAAACAAAGTATGACATATCAACACATTATTGGTATACATGGTAACTTCGAACACTCCACCAGTAACATTTTACTCGTACAATTGAAACACATCATTGCCAAGTATTCACATGACTCTCATCGGAAGATCGACCAGCAAAGACTAGTATCTATTTGAGCAAACGTCATACAGGTCGAACGGATTCACAACATCTCGTTCACGAAACCACCGATGAGTCATGTTCGATGAAATAGTGCACATACACCGGATAGACTGAGATTCTCGACAATACGATTAAGAGGACACGTTCATAGGGATCGCTGCATTGTACATAGTTAATGATCGATGAGATTCATCATAACAACTCAATTGCAAGGTGTTAAGCATAGGTAAAACTGAGCTACTATTGCTGAAGTAACTCAAAGTGAGTAGTAAGATAGAAAAATTAGGCACAAAAAGAATGACCGGTAAACAACCCACCGAGCTAAAGAAATAATAAGAGTGTACACATCGACAAAGCGAAAAAATATAATCAAAATCAGACAGAACCATAAGATCTCAAATGTCACCTGCAAAAACGGAGATACTGCTAGAGTACACGCACTTTAAGCAACACAAGTGCTCGCAACAACCTTGTCTTATCTAGAATAATAAAAAAATAAAAAAAAAGAGATGTAGTAAACACTTCTATGTCCTTTAATTCAACTAAAAAATAATCTAACTCACCCTTATGACTTCTTTTTCCTAGGATTCGACTCCGAGTCCGCATTTACACGTTTCACGCCACGATTCTGAAAGAAACATCTTTATCACGCATATGATAATGCAAAATTGAACTCACAACAACTTCAGAATAACTCTCACTCTCGGCTTCTCTATTCTCCTCGAGACCAGGCAATGTCAATGGCCCTATTGGAAGTTTACCACCCTATAAAAACTTGTACAATAAGAACAAGGAATTATAATTAACTATCACTCACCAGACTGTCCTTCTTGATTCTATAATCGATAATCTCATCAAACGGCAATCCATTCCAGTTTCGGTAATCGAAGTCCAGTCTTCTAGCAAGTATGACGGGATCGAACTGGAAAAACTTTTTCAATTGGTTACAGAAAATAACAACTAGTACTCACCACCCCTACACCAACTAACTCGATCCTCCACTGCTTTATCTTCATGTCTATCGGGGACTTCTGCTTCTCACGATACTTTTCCTTGATGAGATTTCGCAAAAACAAGCTGAAACAAAACATATCACACCTCATATGGAATCCAGTCACTTACCACAGCCGGTTCTGATCGTTCATTCTCAGCGTCTTTTCCTGTACGACGACTATGTTGGTCTGGTGCTCACGATTATATTCACCAAGTTTGGTCTTGCCCAGACTGGTGAAATACCTCCAGAACTTATACGTCACCTTTGCCTGTAAACAACGTCAAACTAATCACAAGATATCCAAATCCACACACTTACCTGCAAACACATGGTACTGGCCCCTATACCGGCTGGCCTCGGCCAACTTAGAGGGTTATAATCACGTTCGCGATCTTTATCGTAACTATAACAAGGTTAATTAGAAACGAAGTTCCTTTTACAAGAGCTCACCCCACAATAACGACAAAATCTTCCAGCATTAGAGATAATTCTTTACGCATAGATATTGGTATATTTACAATACGGATGTACTCATTCATAACACGCTTATGAACACCTTCGATAAATCGTTCAACGCGATAAGGATTCATTCTAAAACTAAAAAGCTTCGTTACCATTGAAAACTCACAAATAACCAGCAGTGAGTACATGGATGTAGATACCCTAGATACAACAAATAGAACGTTAGGATCCAAGTTAGGTGAACCAGCCGCACCGCGAGTAGAGAGTTGAGATAATGACGAAAGTGAGCAAACATCCTCACCCAAAAAATTTTTTAGGCCTTCACAATTTATAGGACACAAACATATCGAGATACGGTCATAATAATTAAACAATTGTTAATGTAGCATGTTATCTACAAGTACTTCACTCATGCAAACCATTTTGTCAATAAGCTAATGAGTTAATCACAACGTTAACAATATACTACTAAGCTACCAAACATAAGGGGGTTAGGTTGTATTACCTTACTACTAGGTGGGTTCAAGCTTTTTTTGTACTTTTTGCACTCACTCACTCACACTTTCTTGTGCACCTTTTACATAGTACTACCGATGAGGTTTATAAAAATAGTCACTGGCATGGGAGGGTAAGTGCTGCGCCCCCGGTAGTACTATTTCTTGGGAGTGCCGCCCCCAGGAAGCAAACCTTCCGAAACCTTTAGGTAACCTTCCCTCTGGTAGGGGATGAGGCCATTCCTTGCCTTAGATCTAGGCCTAAAAACAATATCCAAAATCAAGCATCAAATCTTAGGTAGTTTCAGCAGCGCGTCTTCTACAAAAGTAAGGTAAACGGCACATACAACCTACTGAATTTCGGAACATCACATGAAGGCAATGATTGCAAGAATAATTGTAACATATGTGAATACCTTGATCACAATAATTATACAATTTCAAACACTACAAACTTTAAGATAAACAAATACAAAACTACGGAGGCCAATTGTCAATCCATTAAGTTTATTGCATAACTTGCCAGGATTGTGGCCTCCAGTATGTGGGAATAACCACCAGAAAACTTAGACTCAGAATGATGGAACACATCGGAGGTATAAATAAGAAGGTTACTAGCAAGCTGTTTTATAGACATTTTGTTAGCCACAATTGCTCTGTTGATAACATACGCATATCAATTCTTGATAATCTCAAAGAAAATTCAGATTCAAATATCCTTAGAGATAAAGAATTTTTTTGGATAAAGCTACTTATGACACCCTTCCCATTCGGATTCAACGACAACATCAAAAGTTATGGAAATCTAACCACAATGCATAATCCACTCAAACACTCCAAAAATCACCCTTTCTTTAATCTAAATGTCATTAAAATACGAAAAGATAAAAGTAGAACAAAGACCAAAAATAAACCGGTAGCACAGTCCATTCCCACTTTAGTAGATGAAGTAACTGCTTTATTTTCACAGCACATATCATACATGATGTTTTTGGATTTCTAAAATCCAAAAATACTCAGTACATAGATACACATGTAAACATCATGACCTATCATCCGGAACAACTACAACTTAATCAAAACGACAAAATTGTCTTGATGAGCATACTCTGTTTTTATATTAGGTTGGTCCGAAAGTTCTGTCCCACCATTTTCAAAAAATCATAACTTCCTCCTATCATGATGTTTCTGCGTGGCTAAAACCTTTTTGGAAAGAGCAATTCATGCACTTTTTAAAACTACCTTGGCTGCTATCTACTAAGCTCCGAATGCGAAGATAAAATTGAAAAAAGGAAATCACTTCAAGTTCCGAATTTTTGAGCAGGTCCATTAAAAAATCCAAAACCGTGCCATAAAATCCAAAACAACCATTATCCTAGGTTTTCTGATGTTCTTTTCTATATGAGCAAAACTCGCGCTGATCGGACTGTTTTTTGAAAAATTATGATTTTTTGAAAAAAAATGTCAAAAAATCAACTTTCTTAAGGAACTGATTTTTTGGCATTTTTTCTCGAAAATCATAACCTTTCTAAAAAGGGCTCGATAAGCGCGAGTTTTGCTCATATAGAAAGAGAAGGCCAACCTAGAATAATGGTTGTTTTGGATTTTATGGCACGGTTTTGGATTTTTTAACGGGCCTGCTTAAAAATTCCGAACTTGAAGTGATTTCCTTTTTTCAATTTTATCTATGCATTCAGAGCTTTGTAGATAGCAAGACAGTTTTGAAAAGCGCATGAATTGCTCTTTCCAAAAAGGTTTTAGCTATGCAGAAACATCATAATAGGAGGAAGTTATGATTTTTTGAAAATGGTGGACAGAACTTTCGGACCAACCTAATATATTTCGAAATGAAAAACCTGAAAAAGATAAAGTAAAAAGGAATTACATACATGTAAAATTCCCATATTATAGTAAGAGTTTAGATACTTTAAAATCAACAAATTCATCAATAATAAAAGTGTATCTAACTATATACATACCAAAAACAAAGAGTTTCCGCAGTTCCGTATTATTTACCAATATTCAGATCCCATCTCCAAAAGAATTTTCAATTATAAATCATTCCTCAAATCATGGAGAAATGTACAGGATGATAATAACTCGTGTATATGTGCGGAATTCGAAAGCTACATAAACATAGATTATGGTCATGTAATCACAGGTAATATTGGCATCATCAAACAATTCTCACTACATTCACTGTTACAAAAAGGAACAAAATATACAGAGTGTCCCAAAAAGATGTGCACACTGTTTGATCGTTAATAACTCTCTTGCTTTCATATCTTTTGCCGAGCTTGAGGCACCATTAGCTTGAGCGAGGATAAACTTAGATTTACAGTACGAAGTGAATCACTAATCTCTCTTCATTGCTGTAGGATTACGGTATGAACTTTCAGCATACAGCGTCACTGTAGAGTAGGCCTTTTAATGAAATAATTTCACAAGAATCTGAAAACTTGTGTAGCAAGGTTTTCAAGCGTGCTGATTTCAATACATAACTTTTCACCAATTTTTAGAGCTTTCTTGATGGCGTATTCACATTTCTGACGAACGTCGGAAAATCAGTTGTCACCTTAAATTTGAAATAACCCATGAAAGAAACAATGTCCTGATGTGCAGTTTTCATATTTAGAATCAGCGACTTTGCTCAGCCCAGCTCAAGAGTTTCTGGCTTGTTTGGCTTTCTTTCTGAGGCAAAATACCGCTTTTAATGGCTCAAAATCCTCCTCGAAGTTCCACCGTAATACTACAGTAATGAAGAGCGGTTGATAATTCGCTCCATACTGTAAATCTAAGTTGAACCTCGCTCAAGCTAATGGTACCTCAAGCTCGGCAAAAGACATGAAAACAAGAGAGTTATTAACGATCAAACAGTGTGCACATCTTTTTGGGACACCCTGTAGAATACAAAGTCCCTTTTCCACCTCCACTATTCGGGAAATTTGGAAAGAACTCATCGAAAATTTGACAAGCAAACTTAAAATGAAATCACATTTAACAACTGCAGAAGCAAATATGATAAGATACCTTTATAACAATGGTCTATCTCGTTTACAAAATAAACACTTACATACAAGTAATAAAAATATAACTGAAAAATTGAATAATAAAGAACTAAAGCACATTCAAAAATATTTTATTCTATGCCCATTAGATAAAGATAGTTCAAATTATGGTATAGTCTGCAAAAACCTGTATATTAACATTTTGAAAAATGAAATGGGCTTAACCAATAACGTACAAAACAGCGCTATAACCAGGCTTGAGACGAAATTGATATTGGAGCAATATTGAATCAACATAAGGGCATAGTAAAAGCTCTTAAACCAAAACCCTTTACCCAAAGCGACATTCTCAGAATTTATTGCCTCCCTAAACTTCATAAGAACCCCATTAAGTTCAGATTTATTACGGGAGCAGCTAGCAGTAGTGTCAAACCAATTACTCTCGAACTGCTGAAACTCCTAACACATATACGCAACCATTTCAAAAATTGCGCCTACAGCGTATTAAGACAAAAAAATTGTTTACAAACATATTGGTCTATACAAGATATAAATATATCACACAATCTTACAAATATTTAAGGCAACAATTTGAAATTACTTCCCGGAGATTTTACCGTCATGTTCACTAACATATCACATGAGACCATCATTACTAGTATTAGAGAAATCCTAAAGATATGCTTTCGTAATGCAAATTGTGAGTACTTAATTATCAAAGGAAACAGAACATATTACTCCAATATTCTCAAGAAAACGAACGCCAGAAATTACAGAATACAAGACCTCTTGTACCTATTAGATTACATACTTAATAACAGTTACTGCACACTTGGTAACAGGTTATTCATTGAAACCAAAGGAGTGCCCCAAGGCGGTAATACCAGCCCAATAATTGCAGATTTAACACTTTCCTATCTGGAATACAGTTACGCTTTAAATAAGTACACAGATGGAAACATATTCAAACCCTTTAGGTATATGGATGATATCCTCATTATACACAACTGTAGTACTGAAACAGTTTTAGGGATTCTACATGACACATACAATAACATCCTAGACCTTAAAACCACACAGATAAGCACACATGAATGCAATTTCCTAGATCTCAATATTAGGATTACTTATAATGAGCTAGTCACTAAACAGTACAACAAAACTGACAGTTTCGATTTTAACGTATTTAAATTTGGTCGTGGTAGTTCACATATCAGTTACAAACAAAAGATAGCAATTGTGTACACAGAAATACTTAGAATATTCAGAACTTCCACACAATTCACAGACTTCAAGTGTAGATTCAGTCAACTTGTAACACAACTTGTACAATTGGACTATAAAAAAAGATTTAATAACCGGCGCCTTTCTCTTTCTTTCCTTTCTAAGTCCGAAACAGATGAGTCGACAAGCGAGGCCAACAAGAAATAGACCAGAAAGCAGACCTGTAATGAAAACAGACCAGGAACGAGTCACAAAAGAGTGCTCAGTGAATCCCAGCGATTACTGGATCTTTATGCCTGCTTACGATAGACATGGTGGTTTCAACTTGCATTACCCAAAAGTTGAGAGGAAACATGCCAACATTTTATTCAACCATATTTTTTGTCGGAAGCTAGATGGTTACGGTGCAT